CAGATCCTGAAGAAGCTAAAGAAACTTTCTTCTATCGGTACAATGAAACTTGGGATGGAAGGGTCATGTCTTGTGTTAAGAGCTCTGCAAAGTGGCTAACTGCCACAAATCCTTCAAGTTCTGTAACTTTTTTTGAATCTGTTTTGTTTAATCAACATCAGTTTCAGCAGAAGCCTAGCCCAGACCTCTGGAATTGTGCATTCCTTCTTGCTTGAGATTCGCATTTACTGAATGAACCTTTTTCTCACCCTGCGTATATTTTGCTGAGGAAATGCCATGACAAGTGACAGGTGGACTATTGCTTCTTAAAATGAATGTAAAGGTACTTAAAAATGGATAACAAAATTCTGAGGAAATTCACCTCCTCAGGGAGACCTGTTCGATACGATTTTTCTTCAGTCTGATAAGTGGGGGGTGGCAGGGTGTATTAGGATTGGTGACTTCTGGTGGTTGCTTTGCAACTCCTGGGTCTGGTTCTAGTCGTGTGCTCTGACCGTGCTGACGTTTTCCCTGTTCCAAACAGAAGTGATGGTGAAAGTAAGCCTAGCTGGTTTGTTATAGAGGAGATTTTTGTTAATTGTTTTGAGATACTTAAATGATCTGTAAGTAATACAGCAAATCTTCACTGAATATATTACGAACCAACCTTTAGCAACAGTAAAAAAAAAAAAAAATACTGTTGAGATAATACTGCTACTATAGTATTAATGATATAGGGGGGAAAAAAATCACATTCAGCTAACCTGGAATAAATTCTGCAGTCAAAGTGCAATGAATATAAAAGGAAATGAGCAAACCTGATTTATTCAAAAATGGAAGGAAAAACATGCATTTTAAAAAATTTGGTTTAAAATTGCATATATGTTGTTGTGTTTAAAAATAAAGTTTTAAATATGTTAATCCTTCCAGACCCTAACAAAGGGAAAGAAATTATTCATTGCAATATGTAGAGCTCAGTCAGGATCCCCCTTGTGTTTTGTAATAAGAAAGCCAAATTGCCTGAGCAGTGCACACTTCATTTAGCTTTTCTGCAATTAAAAAATAATTGAAAAGCTCTTTTATTGCAGCATGGCAGAGAGACTGCAAATGCTTTGAATGCAAAGCATTTATGTGGTAAGGTAAAGAATCTGTCAAGAGTACAAAGATCATCCTGGAAAATATTATGGTTTTCTTATTTGCATAACTCAATCTATAGACCAACTCACTACTGGAAAACATATAATATAGGAAAAATTATAAAACAATATTTTTAATTTTAGTTTTCTGAAATTGAATGCATCTGAAACTGGGCTGGTTTGTTTTTCAGCTTATTGTGACACTTAACCACATCCCTAATAAAGAACCCATTCCTGAAAGCAGCACAGCTAATTACATTTTATTGTTTAAGGGTGCAACTGGGATTAAGGGCAGTCTCACAAAATGATGGGTGTGTGTTAGTTTGCCCTATGAACCTATGTAAATGGACCCTTGTTCATGATGAAGCTATGTAAATGTTAAAATTTGCTGTATATGTAGTCCAGCTAAATTTATAGCTTAATTTTGCCAAACTCCAAACCCTGGAGAAAGGAATACTAAACTGAGACTGTTTCACTGGTGTTTCTAATGTCCAGAGATTTGCAAACATATTCCTGTCTTGGTTTGCGTGGTATTTTTAGTTCAGGATGAAGCCTGGTTATTCTGTAGTATCCTGTGGCTTCCTCTTCAAGAACAGTTGTCCCTTCCACCACTCTCATCCTAAAATACTTTTACTGAAAAAATCAGTTATGTTTTAATGTTGGAGAGATCACTCTATAAAAGTAATATACTTACTTTATAATATATATATACTTTAGGAACTTTGCCCTCCAGTGACAGTAGGTATTTCCTCAAATATTTGTACACTGTATTGTCTTTGGCATACGTTTGTGAATTGTGTTTGTACTTGAGTATCTTGGTGAACAAAGACAAGGTATGTCTTTTGAGAAGTGTTTTATAAAAGGCTGATAAACATGCAGTCAGAGTTAACATTTCAGTACTTCTTTTGTCTTTTTTAATACAACAGAGATGTTAAAATGTAAGTTACTTTCCTTGACTGTTTTGGATTGCTGTGATCAGAAAGAATCTAATACACTACATAATGAAGAATATGGTTGTACTAGCTTTTGAATATTTCTTTTTTTCTTGAAGCTGCCTTTCCTCATTCTTGATTTTTTTTAAATATAACTAAGAAAATGTCTAAGTTATGAAAATAGAAGCTTTTTTAAATAACAACAGACAAGCATAGCCAAATAATCCTAAATATTGGACTAGTCGGACAATTCCTAAACTAATATTCATTTAAAATCATTAGAATATGGAAATTCAACACCCTTTTTTAGGGGAGCACAGTATCTATTGGACTTCTGTGTGTCAGTAGCAAACATTCATAATTTTCCATAAATTTACCAATTTAGAAGAAGATGTGTAAAGAGAATTTATGGTGTCATGCTTGACCTTTCTCTTCTGCAACATAATCTGAAAGTACCTTTTAGTTAAAGTAATGTCTATCTTTTTCAGGGAAAGATACCAGTTATTTTCCATTTCTGATGTCAGTTACATATTTAAGGAAGACATTAAAAACTGGTTAAAAATAGAGAAATCCGGTTACTTCTTTCTGTCATTTTAGAACTGGTTATGCTAACTGAGGCATATCTTAAAGAATGCACAAAGAACATTGAAAAAGCTTCCTTTTGTTAAAGATGTACCTTCCTCAACGGGGTGTTCGCTGCAGCTGTGCAGAACTGCAGTTGGGAATGAGACGTGAGCACCAGTATTTTAGATCACTCTCAACTGCCTGACTAAAATCTTAAAAGTATCCGTGCAAGCAGTTCTGCATAGCTGAGCCGCTCATACCGATCTTCTCTGAAAGTGTTAGTGCTTATCGATGTCTGTAAAGCTACATCACTTTAACTGGATAAAGCTGTTTAGTTAAACCTATGTTCCATTGATTTTGTGGAAGTCAGGCTCCAGTCACAAGTCTCCTTCATAGGTATTTGGGGTTAGTGGCAGATGTTTTAGTAGTACAGCTGGAAAAAAAATAACAAAAAAAGCCAGGTATGGAGAAAATGTCATCCTAACGGGTCTATTGATTCTGTGATGTTCTCATGGTACAACATATGTCATCTTCATTTTGTCCAGTTCATCTCTGGCGGCGCACATGCCAGTCTTGCAGCAAGGTGGTTTGTTGTCCCACAGTTCCTTGAATGAACTCATGCTGGGTGGGTCACTGGCTGGATAAGTGCAAAGGACTTTTCCTTCATACAGCTAAGACTCAAACAGAAATAAAGTGTATCAAGAATAGAGCTCTCATGTAGCTCTAGGAGACAGGCAGACAAGAAGGTTTGTGTGTGAAAAGCCCTTGAAAGTGGTTGCTCTTTTGTGGTACAGCAGATTTTCTTCTCCTGTTGAAGTAACACAGGAGAAATAGGATTCATAAATGTTGGGCAGCGGTATACTGAAATACTGAGTTGAACATCGTTCTCAGAGCTGCAGAAGATTTGGTTGTGGCTGCCAGAAGCTGCGGAGCAGAAGACCCATTCTTATGGGTAACACCGCTGTTTGTGTTTTCATTTGTAGTAGTCTCCTATATCTGCAGTAGAATTTCTGTATCTGTATCTGGAGGGTTGGTCTGATAATTGTCTAAAATTCATGTCAGCTGTTGGTGAACATTTTTCAGTACCTCTTAACTGCAAGTTTTTTGATGGGTGTTTGGTTGGGACCCTCCACTTGAAAAGAACTTTCTTCACTCTTCTCAGAAAGATTTTTGATCCTAGTCAAAAAATGTTCTGTTATAGGAAAATTTGAGAGCATAATAAGGCCTGGGGTATGTAGGATATCCTTCATCTAACCTTTATGACACCCGCTGTGTTCAAGAATAATCTTTTCTTTGTGCTTGTCCAGTTCTTGTGTGAGTAAGCCTGTTAAAAAAAAAAAAAAAAAAAAAGTTTTCCTGTGCTATAGCAACCAGAGATTTGACATATGTAAATTACCACCTATAAGAATATCCGTTCATGATTTCCCTGTAGAAGGAAATGAAGCAAGACACTGCCTTTAATTATAGTTGCAATTTCTTTTTCACTCTATTAAGTGCTGAAACTGTGGTCTTCTGTTAATTATGTCCTTTCTTCCACCTCTCTCACTTTAATTTTAGACCTATCAAACTGTTGGTTAATTGAGTCAATTTTTGAATTCATTACCTCTAACTTGTGTACTGTCACACAAAGTATTTTCTAATCCAAATGAGTTTGCTGGGTTTTTTTTTTGAGCTGGACCAAGAAACACTGATGTGTGGTAAGAACATTCCTTAGACACTCTTCAATTTACGCATTTGTTTGCATGTTTTTCTTGATATGGATATTGGACTTTTGAGTCAATTTGCTAGTGAAACTTTGCATTCTGAGATTCTCCAATAATAATTCTGATACGTAGCAAGGCAAAGTCAACTTTAGACACAAGGAATCCCTATAAAATTTTTTAAAATAAAATTTGTTCTTTCCTGGGAGGTTGCAGGTGTTTGTTGCCTAATGCTGCATTTTTGACTGTTGCAGTATTTCAGAAAGCTGTGTGCGCAGATTTCTCTTCTGGCAGTGCACAGCCATGCACTGATTAAAATGGAAACAGAGGTGGTTTCGGTGACTGTTGTACTCTGAGCACGGCAGCTAACATGAAGGCCCAGGGGAGCTGGATTAGCTGAGGACAGGTTGGAGGAAACGCGGAGCTGAACTGGAGCTGAACTGGAGGATCGGCAGCAGGGGAACGCTGACCTGCGGGCGAGCTCCCTTCTGCAAGTGCACTTAGTTTGAGCTGAAGTGGTTGCTGTGATCAACTGCTGCTGCTCCTCAGCTCTCTGCTACAATTTATTTCCCCCTCAGGTCTGCTAGGTGAGCCTTCTGTAAGACTGTTACGTAGCTGTGCTGTTCGCTGTTAGTATAAGAGGCTTTTGTTAGCCCTTCTCATTTAGCTCGAGTCAAGGAGCATCACCCATGCAGGTAAGTCAATGAATGTGAAGAGCGTTGATGACAAGCAGTTCCCAGTGGTTGGGGTGAAATAACCTCTCTAGGAGGCACAGCGGGAACTAGCAGATGTACTGGAGAAGTAGTAGTCTAGTGTCTTGCCACTGTTTAGTAGCAACTTGTGATTCTTTGGCTATATCTCTGTGTGAAAACTACAATATCAGTATCCTGAATATATTGGTGCTTATTCAATAATGGAAAATCAGTTGAAACACCCAGACAATTTAGCAGTACAGATGAACAATGCAACAGCAAAAAAAACATTTACTGGCTTCTGGAAAGGAAGAAGAAGGTAGGATGGGAGGATAAAGCATCTCTGAAAAGAAAGACATGTTAGAATAAAATAAATTTCTTTCCCAAAAAGACTCCGAAATACCCAGTAGACAAGCCGTGATCACTTAACCTTTAAGAAGATACTGGTGCATTTCTTGAGTCCTGTAAAGATAGTTTGGGTTTTTGCATCTGTAGGGCACAAAAAGATAATTATGTCCTTGCATAGTTTATTATCAGTGAAAATCTGAAGCCTGTAAAAATCAATAACTTTTCTTTATGTTTTATAAGGGAAGTCTGTGTGTCAACTGTAGTGTCAAGAGAGGGGAAGCAATTTTTCTGGATGGCTTAAAAACCTATTGAAAATGAAGATTACATTAAGGAAAGACTAATAAGAATTGAATAGCTAGTTTGGATTTATGCAGTTATGCTAAGATTAGAGGAACGTTTAATAAACTCTTGCTTTCTTCTTTTTTTTTTTTTTCCTAATTCTTGTTATTTTGTGACTTTCAGAAATCCTGCCAGAAACCTGTGGACAAATACATTGAGTATGACCCTGTTATCATCTTGATTAATGCCGTTTTATGTAAAGCACAAGCATACAGGCACATTCTTTTCAATACAAAGATAAATGTAAGTTGCTGTACCTGTACCATGTGACTTTTTTTTGTTAAAGATATATTTAGGTTTGGTAAGTTGATCATAATCGTTGTAAAATTTTAGGTAAATTTTAGAGACTGTTCTTCCCCTGCCCTTCCACAGGTTCCAGCAAGCTGAAGTAGTTGTATCATGACTAGAACCCATGAAGTCTCAAACTGCAGCTGTTACTAAGAAAGTTACTGTCTCCACAGTAGTAATGCCGCAAATACCAGCAAATACAGCAGTCATCTTACATGAGAGAACAGAAAGAACTGTATGGAATTGTTCATGCAGTTTTCTACACCCTCTAATTTGCCTATCATGTTAATCGATTTTAAAAGGATGATGTGCTAAACTAGTGGCTCAACAGAAGTAATTTGATTACATTTCTAAACAAAAATAATAAACCTACAGAGCTTGTTTGTGCAGAGATGTTGAAATGTATTTTCAATGCCAGTTTCATACTAATGCTTTAATTTATGCTGATTTAATACTAATGCTTTTATTATTCTTTCATTTACCAGATTCATGGGAAGCTCTGCATATTTTGTTTGCTCTGTGAAGCTTATCTCAGATGGTTGCAACTACAGGATTCCAGCCAAAATACAGATCCTGATGACTTAATCAGATATGCCAAGGAATGGGATTTTTATAGAATGTTTGGTATAGCTTCTTTAGGTAAGATCGATGAGTTCATGTCACTGTCTATAAGCATTGAATAAGTTAATGAGTCTTTCAACAAACCTGTATTGCAAAAATTAATACAGAATGGATGTCATGTCCAACTCAGTATGGTTAAATGATTATACACATACTCTCTAATTTGCCTTCATTTAATTCAAATACATATTTTGATCCTGTTTACATTGCAGACTGATATGATCAGCATTAAATATCAAAGCACTGAAAAGTGGCAATATTCAGAAATCTTCATCTAAATTAATTTACATAGTTTGAAGACAATGTAGAGCTCAGCCTTATTCCGTATTTCATGTTGACTTCAAGGTTTATTATTCATTATGGTGATATAGCATTAAGTTATATCTTTTTACAGAAGTAAACAATAATTGGGAAAAGCTGTATCTGGTTTTATTTTTAAATGAATATACAAAAATACAGAGCAGTCTATTTAGAGTAAATACTCCTGTGCTCTAAGACTACATTTGAAGGCAGAGGAGGGTTTCTGTTTTGTTATGGTTAATACTTACTCTCATACTTTTTCTGGTGATAGTGTTTAAATCAAGCCTGCAGACTAAAACTAGTATTTCCCTTAGACATTAAGAGCTTAACTTAAGTCATTTATTGTCTATTGTTGTCTAAGTAGGTTTTCATAACATGTCAGTAAAAATGTTAGAACTCATTTTTCAGTAGTAATTCATCTATTGCAGTTTTTTGTGAGAGTTGCTTTGACATCTGCATTAATTCCAGTGTTACACAGGGACATTGTCAAAAAAAGTCTTAATAGCTTAGTGGCTCAGTTGCATTTGGGACGTCATTTCACTACAATTCATCCAAAAAAGGACTTGATTTTGGCATTTCATTCTCGCTTTGCAACTCCTCTTATTTCCTCTTAGAACAAACTTCATTTTTGGTGGGCATTTTTATTACCTTCTGGTGGATGAGACCTGAGATGCTGAAGACAAAGTCTGACTTCATTTTACTTCTCAAAGCACTGCTGCTCTCCAGCTATGGAAAGCTTTTGCTAATTCCAGCTGTTATTTGGGAACATGACTACACGCCTTTATGCCTTGCTTTTATAAAAGTGTTTGTCTTGATCTCAAACTCTCAGGCAATTAGAGGTACGCTTTTGCCTTTTTATTACTACATTATTTGTATAGCATGTGTGTGAGAAAGCAGCACTTCTAGAAGTCATTATTGTTGTTCTAGTTTTTAATTGGTATCAGATGTGTGACTGAAATAGCTCTAGCTTAAAACTCTGTTATTTAGACTTGGACAGAAAATGAATGAAACAAAAGATTTTATTAAAAAAAGAAAAAGCACCTCTTATCTCACCCTCATCTCTTTACATATGCTGTATTATATCCATCAGATCCATCAGTTAGAATTTGAGACAACTCATCATGGATAATTGAAACATAAAATACAATTCTTTGTGTGTCTGGAAAATGAAAATTTTGTGTTAATGTTATGCATGGCTTTGGAATATAGACTTTTAATGGATTTGTGTGATTTCTTATATGTACAAATTAATATGAATTCTCACATGGTTTCTATGATCTTCTTAAATGTTAAGTGATAAATTTGTTCTGTTTTATTTTGCAGTTACATTGAACTTGAACCGAATGCTCCCTTGGTTGGCCATCTTCTTTGGATTAATTTTGGAAAATGGTGTGGTCTGCTTGTTCCAGAAAATGGGATGGGATGTTTGAAACGTCAGCCTGGATCTGAAGAAATACTAACATCATGATGATAATTTTCTAGGAATGATCTCTGCCAGCAGGCTGCAAAGACACTATTTTCATAGTGATAGAGAAGGTGATAGATAACAAAAACTTGTATTAGTGGTCAGTGTAGACAGGTTTAGGATGAATTAAAAGGAGAAACTTCAGAAGTTTGGCTATTTAATGTGGTGAGCCAAAAAACTTCAGCCTTAGCTTGTTTATTTTCCCATTAAAAATATGAATGTGTCACTGTCCTAATAGCTTTATAAATCTGGCTGCATAGCTATGGTTGTAACAAAAAAGGTACATTAAAAAATTCAGCACTGCTACCAATCACTGCATTTGGCAGAAAGAGGAGGACGAATTGTTCCCTTAAGAGGAAAGGAGTCTGTGGAAAAATATAAAACACAAAATTGATATTTCCACAAAAACTGATTTTCAAGGAGAGATGTGAACATGTGCAAATAGTTTATTAGAGAGAAGGCAAGTATTGCAGAGTAAAACTACAGTGGGAAAGTTTATGTAACAATCCAAAATAATAAAATATCTAGTTCTAGAGTAATCTCTAGGAACTATAGTTTTAACTGGCTTGAAATCAGAATCAGCAGAATCAGTTTCCACAAGACAGTAATTAGGACATGAACCTGGTTTTTTTTGTGCAGACCAGTTCCATTAAGTTCCATTTAACACTGTTATGTTTTGCAATATCTTCAAGTTAATTCCAAACAGGTTCAGAGTAAGTCTAGATTATGACCACAGAAGACATCAGACATCTTTGTAAGATAACACAGTAAGTTATTTGGTCAGAAAGGCAAATGGTTGCTGATTCTGTTTTAATAGATCAGAAGTGACACAACTTATGTGCCATGTGTGTTAAATTTGACATCTTTCTGAGCATGTGCTGGCATGGCTCGACAAAGCAAAAATTGCAACCTCTTTTAAGTACGTTAAGTATGCTGCAACTGCCATAGCAAGCACATAGTTGTCTGTGAAGGTATGTGAGGGATCCACCTCACTACTGGTGTGAATCAGTGGCCAGACAACTGCGTGTAGGAGTGCAGTTGCTCACTGTCTGAGCAGCAGCTTTGTCAAAACAGTACCTAGAACATGCTTAGCTTCACATAATTAGATTTGGGGAGCTACTCCACCCCCAAAAGCTTTTTTAAAAACAGTATGTTGCCAAAGGTGCTTTGAGTAGTGCTCATCTTCTTCCCACACTGGCACACAGCATTGCAACAGAGGCTGCAGGTTGAGAAGGTACAAAGGGAGAGAGCAGTAGATCTTTCTCAAAAGCTTCAGGGATGCTGGTCTGGCCTGCTTTCATTTTCTTCCTTCACCTTCTGCCTTGAGTTTAAGAGGGAATGAAGTTGTGCTGCAGCAGAGAGGATGACAGAAGAATATGCACTAGGAAAGTGCTGGTGCATGCCAAGCCAAACTGTGTTTGTTATTATAGCTGTCATCTGGCTTTTACCCAGCTCTCTCTTCATCTTAGTATGACCTTAGCATTGCAGCTGATAAAGTTTCTCAGCAGTATGCATGTTCCTCTTCAGGAAATGTACATTCCTTCTACCGCCAATTTTGTTTTTCTAATGATGTAACAACAGTGCTTTGGTTTGTTCCTCTTAGGTTAGATTTTTTTTTTTTTTTTTTTTTTTTTTGTTATGTGTCATGATTATACACAAAAGGTTTTTTTCAGGTATTTCTCCCTTGTCTCCTCTGGTACTGGCTTTCAGTCTAAAGGCTGAATGGAGCACATCTAAGAGTGACTAATGCAAGAGAAGATTTTTAATTACTTGTAGTGTAAATATTGCCTAGTCAGCAGCAAAATTGGAACTACAATGTATATAAGTTTTGTTTGGAGACAGTTTTCTTAAAGTTTATTTTGTCTTTAAGAAAAAGTGATTGCAGGACATTTCTAAGTTTTATTCAGAAGATGTAGAACGGACATGAACACACTCCAAAAGAAGAAATGCTTCTCTATTGGGTCACATTTGCCAATAACATATCAGTTATGCACTCTGTAATGCTATGAGGAGCCACCACTGTCCCTATGCAACTTTGAGGATGGAGAAGAAAATTAAGAGCTACAGAGCTGTGGAATGAAAGCAAGTGTTGTACAGGTTTGCAGTCTTCAGAGGCATCATTATTCTCTAGTAATGTAGGACATTCTGCCTCCTGTGCTTTTATGGCCACTCATTTACTATAGCTAACATGACAAATACACTAATATTTCATAAATCTAAGGGGAACTTGAGGATGCCTTCTCAGTGTGTGGGCAGGTGTGTGTGCATTTTTGATGCTTTTGGAAAAGAATTCCATATGGTGCTTCAGAGAGAACCTAGCCTATTTTAAGATCATACCTGTTTAAATTCCAGGATTCTGCTGGATGAAATGCATAGAAGAAACAGTGATGTCATTCAGACTTCGGTTGAGCAATGGTTTAATGATTGTGCAGTGGGAGATGGGAACTTTAACTGGGTCCATAGGTCAGGTAACAAGTATTTAGAAATTACTCTCTACAAATGTGGAGAATTAGCGTATAAGTTAGGAAGGGTTAAAAGAACATAGGCGTCAGGCAGACTTCTACAAAATTAAGAGTTGAGAAGACTATAAAAATCTCAGACTCTCAAGAAAAAATAATATGTAAGAAAAGATACAGTATAGATGGGTATGAGTGTATGATTATGCAAATAAATGAATGTCCTACTCCTAAATTTTCAAAAGATGAACATGAGGAAAGTATACTATTTGTTGTAGATATTTTTGTAATAGTCTAATTGATAACATGAAATGGCAAAGGACGTCTTCCAAACAGTAAAGTCTATGGGTTTCCCTAGAAAAGTTACTGATAACCTCATTACTTCTGCGGTTTGCACTCCATCCTTGAAAATAAATTTTTATAAGCAGAATTACTAATTGTACAGGGAGAGAATTAATCACTGTGAGTAGGAAGAGCTGTGCCACAGCAGAGCTTCTCCCTTCATTCTGCAATAGTGTGCATTGCATTAGGTTTTGCCAGTGGAGGCAAGGGCTACTGCCCTCGTGACCTTGTGCAAGTACAGACAAGCGAGTCCTTTCTTCCACCACAAGTTGTATCTCAGGCATATAAACCACCATTTGTTAGCCCAGACTTCACCGAACTGAAAGTAAAATAGGACATCTGCACTGGAAAACTCTTAGCAGCTGATTTCTCATAAAACAAGAAAGCCATTGTTTTTCAGAAGCTTGCATGCTTTTGCAATCCATCAGCTTCCCCCAATTGCGTAGCGTTAAGCACCACAGTGCCATCTGGAGTTGAAAATTAAAGCATGATTGTTTCCAAAACTGTAAGAAACATAAATGCACTATAAGTACATATTCTTTGATTAATTTTTGTTTTGTAAAATCACAAATTCAAACTTTTAAAATTAACACTGATTTTCTGTTTGGAAGCTAGTGATGAAAAACAGGTCACAAAATAATTGTTTTGGTGACTTTGTATCAAGGTCAGTTCAATATCTGCACCATGAAAGCTACAAAATGCAAATTATTTTAGCACAGCATCTCTTTGTTTAAGGCATAAACAGTCCTGCAAGCTGGGATTATTCTGAGTAGCCTCGCTGAGCTCAGAGAAAATTCACATGACAAAAGACATAGTGAATGCATTCCTCTGCTGCTAAAAATCAATAGGGATTTTGTTGCTGAATTAATTTGATACCCAGGTCGCTGTAGTTAGAATTTGCAGGAAGGTGTGTATAACAAGATTCCCTTTTTCTTTTCTGCCTCTTATAATGCTGCTCTGACCTTCTTAGTCTTTCCTATAATGCTTACTATATTACTGAGGTAGCTAGAAAGATCTGAACATCAGGAGCTTTGTAAAATCTTTTTCCTAAACATGATCTGCTGTCCTAAATTTGTAAAGCTCTTTTGAGCCCTGTAAATGGCAGGTCTGCAAAGCAGATAGGATGTTTTAATTGCCAGTGATGTTTTAATTGCTGTTCACTAGGATAATAGATATTGAGATTTATTTTTTTTTCCTGAGTAAAAATGTGGTTTAAATTTCTTTACATAGTAGCATAAGAGTGTGAAGTCATACAGTTTATACATATGCTGTCTGCTGCAGAAATAAATCCAGATGACCCCCATAATTTCTTATAATCTCTAACTGCAATTCTGAGTACATTTTTAGGCAAAAGAGCTGTTGTCCATAAGCTGCACAGAAGTGCCTGCCATAGCTATCTGAGCAGAGGAGTGGGGATCTGAATTAAGACCTGAATCCTAATCCTGGCTATAAGACTGCTGCGACCTTGAGCAAGTCATGTATGTGGCTCCATAAAATGATTGTACCTTCACCATCACAGGATTTGGGGGAGGATTAATTTTTATGTCTGCTTAAAAAGATGAAAAGCATTGAGTCCTCTCAGCTGCATGTTGTTTTGAGTCAGTCAACACCATGAATGTCAGATACTGAAACAGACATCTGAGGAGTCAGAGAATGTGAATATTGAAAGTGACGTGTTTAAAGTCTTCATTATCTTAAGGGAAGCTTTAATTCTGACCCTTGCTGGCATACAGTTCTGTGACGTACATATCTGAAGACATTTAGGGGGTTATACACAAATCATGAATCCCTTATTGTAAATTTTAAGTTAGTTCAGCTGCTGTGCCAAAATAAATCTGAAATCAGTTGAAAAACTTGGAGGGCAGGGAGCTGGCACATTAACTGATCATACTTTGAGATATCTGAAAGGAAAATTAAAATGTCTTATTTGACAGTTTGAGGCTTTGAGGTAGAAAGCACAGGTAGGTCTTGCATAAAAATTATTTAAAAAAAAAAATATTACTGTCCTGGTTTCTGTTGTTGTGGTGTTTTGCTGCCAGCCAGAGTTCAAAACCACAACAATTATGAACCATTGGTATATTTTCAGTAAATGAATCCAGTAACATTGCACAAATTTCAACAAGAAAACAAAAGCTCAACAACACAGAAGCTCTTCTACTCACCTTGCACTCTCTTCTCAGAACTAATTAACTCTGTAAGCATCTGTGGGTGTTACCTTTATAGTGATTCCCTGACAGGCCTGCTGTAGCCCATCTGATGCTGCCATACATGGATCACTCCTAAA